AACTCAGTTTCTTAGTTGATTCGCTGCTTTTGTTCCAGAAATCGACATCTTTAATGCTTATGTTGTTCTTTTACTGGCATAGTAGATCGTTAATGGTCCTGAGGTGTTGAGCAAGTTTGTTGGTGAGACAGAAAAGAATGTAAGAGACTTATTTGCAGATGCTGAGCAAGACCAAAGGACCCTTGGTAAGGAAAAATTGTTTTCCCTGATCTGTGTTTTTGTGTTTTCCTTTTCTTACTCATATGCTAATTAAGCATGCTTATTTTCTTTCTCAGGTGATGCTAGTGAGTTGCATGTCATTATTTTTGATGAAATTGATGCCATTTGTAAGGTACACCACTTTTGATTTATAGGAAATAAATTTGGCTAACTTGAAGTTGTAAGTATGATTTTCGTTTTGACTACCAGCCCCATTGCTTCCGTGTTATAGAGTTTAGATATTGATAATTTTTCATGGGATCTGCTAGTTATATGAGTTTTACAATACTCTAAAATTGTATGCTTTGTGATTTTCAGTCAAGAGGTTCAACCAGAGATGGGACAGGTGTCCATGATAGTATTGTAAACCAGCTATTGACAAAGGTCAGTCAAAGATCAAGCTAATGTCTGTTTATTCGTAGTTTTCACGGATGTGTCTAACACTTCTTTTCCAGATAGATGGTGTGGAGGCCTTGAACAATGTTTTGCTTATTGGAATGACAAACAGAAAGGACTTGCTGGATGAAGCTCTTTTAAGGTATTTTGTCCTTGTGGTAATATATAGCTCTGCCGTTTCTTTTATACTCCAGTTATACAACCGTAAGTTTTTGAAGTAGTTCTTATATCTTAGTTTTCTATATTGTTCGTTTGAGAAGATACCATCCAAAGCTTGTTTGCTGCGTGAACTTTTAGAATAGCGCATGCGACTTTAGACCTTTATCTTTATTATTTTGACTATAGGCCTGGAAGATTGGAGGTTCAAGTTGAGATAAGCCTTCCTGATGAAGCTGGGCGACTACAAATTCTTCAGATTCACACAAACAAGATGAAGGAAAATTCTTTCCTTGGTCATGATATCAATCTCCAAGAGCTTGGTATGGCTTCCTAGATTTTCAAATCATGGAATCTTTGGTAGTCCTGTTTAATAATTCCAGTATCACCACCTCACCGAATAAAAGAAAAAAATATATATTTTCGAAACCTTCTTCTATTTAGTATTTGGAAGATTTAAGATATTCAGTCTTTATCTTTGACTAGTTACTTACTAGCATAAATGTGTCGCTGACATGATTTGTCAATATTTTCTGGCAGCTGCTCGGACAAAAAATTACAGTGGGGCGGAGCTTGAAGGTGTTGTTAAAAGTGCTACATCATATGCATTAAACAGACAATTAAGCATGGATGATCTTACAAAGCCAGTGGAAGAAGAAAATATCAAGATCACTATGGAGGATTTTCTCCATGCAATACATGAAGTCCAGCCTGCCTTTGGAGCCTCCACAGATGACCTGGAGCGCTGCAGGTATTGTTCTTTTTTTTTTAAGTGTGTGGTATGGACAATTTTGGATATTAGTTCTAAAGCAAACTTAATTCTCTTCTTTCCTATGAGTCATGCTCTGAAAATGCAGTTCTAAATTTTGTTACCTAGGGACTGCTTAGTTAAATTCCGTGGACTTCTGAATTGTAGTTAGAGAGATTTTGGAATGGGTTAATTCTAATTGATATAAACTGGTCCCTGGTATTGTTATTGTTGTTTCACTTCTGTCCAGTCCAATTGTACGCATGTATTGCATTACCTCTGGATTTTGATTTGCTAGTGCCTTTTTGACATGTATGTAGACTTAATGGGATGGTGGATTCTGGTGATCGGCATAACCACATTTACAAAAGAGCTATGCTTCTGGTCGAGCAAGTTAAAGTTAGCAGTAGAAGTCCTCTAGTCACTTGTCTTCTGGAGGGGCCCAGTGGAAGGTATCTTTCTTATTTACCAAGCCACATTTTTTTTGGCTTGAGGTTTTGTAAGCCTTTGCTGATTTTTTATACCCTATTATTTTTTTTCTGGGCAGTGGGAAAACTGCTTTAGCTGCAACTGTAGGTATCGATAGTGACTTCCCATATGTTAAGATAGTAAGTGTCCATCTTTTTGTGTACAACATATGTAGACATTTCCATCTTTTTCTCTTTGTGCGATATTGATTTGATATTCTGTTAGGTCTCTGCGGAAACTATGATTGGCCTTCATGAGAGCACAAAATGTGCTCACATTGTTAAGGTGTGTCCTTTGGAAATACTCTACTTCTTGTTATTTTGTTGTGTCACTGACAAATCGGTTTTGGTGTGAATGTGACCAGGTCTTTGAGGATGCATATAAATCACCAATGAGCATTATTATCCTTGATGATATTGAAAGGTTGTTACCTGCTATATGTTTCCTTTCAAGGCTTGGCTCAGTAATCTTATAGCATACTTTTTCAGTTTCTTTCTTCGGATCATTACCTAAATTTCTGATATTGCAGATTGTTGGAGTACGTAGCAATCGGTCCTCGATTTTCAAACATAATTTCTCAGACGTTGATGGTCCTTCTCAAACGACTTCCTCCTAAGGTCCTTCATTCACCATTATGTTATACTGTATACGAGTTACATTCTTTTATGCTTGATCATCACAAGTTAATTTCTTACAGTTGAACCGTCTCTGATTTAACTCTCAGTTTATCAAAAAAGGGAAGAAAAAATCTGATTTGGTAAAATCTTTTGTTGACAGGGGAAGAAACTTCTCGTCTTTGGGACAACAAGTCAACTAACCTTCTTAGATTCTGTTGGTATCTGTGAGTCCTTCTCTGTCACTTACTCTGTTCCAACATTAAGAACAGAGGACGCAAAGAAGGTAAAATAGTCTTAAGCAACTCATTTTCTTCTTCATATATTTCCTCGAACTATGGACTTTTGAATTTATTTTCCCAATTCCACACTGAAAAACCAAAATTTATTTAGTTTCATTCTTCGTTCTTTTGTTTTTTTTTTTTCCTCAGGTGCTGAAGCAGCTTAATGTGTTCTCCGAAGATGATGTTGAAGCAGCTGCCGAGGCTCTCGATGACGTATGGTTTTAACAGAAATTAAACCAGACAAAAACAGAAGAACAATCTTTATGTTTATGCTACTTCGACACATTTTTTCTTTTTTTTTTTTTGTTATATGTGTTAACAAGGTTTTATACTCTCTTTTTGGCGCAGATGCCAATCAAGAAGCTTTACATGCTAATCGAGATGGCGGCGCAAGGAGAAGACGGTGGATCTGCAGAAGCTATCTATGCCGGGAGAGACAAAATTAAGATCACTCATTTCTTTGATTGCCTACAAGACGTCGTCCGATTCTGAAAAAAAAAACTTCCCATATAAGTCTATTTTCTCATGCTTCATTGGCTTGCCCTTTTTTATAAAGACCTTCTCTTGGAGCTTTTGAAAAGTAGGAACTTTACCTATTTTTGGTTAGTTTTTGGATTTTTTTATGTATTTTGGTGGAGGTTTGGAACTGAGAAGTGCTCCTTTTGCTGCATTCTTCTTTTGCTTCTTTTGGTGAGTGAAACAATATTGTTTTCATTTCTTCTTACTCACCTTCTTTTCTAACTCGAGAGAAGTCATCCTAAAAATTTATGTGATTATTGTAAAACACGGTGATTTTTAGTGATATTCTTAGAGAATTCCTCTAAAAAGTCTTCGTTTTACTTAACTCTCCTAACTAATCAAACGGAAATGGGACACACAGATCAAGAACGGACATTGAAGGTCGATTTCTAACTTGATACGATACGAGCCTTGGCGAGTGCTACATTCGAATTCCAACTCGATATGATGGTTGATTTCTCTCTTTGGTGGTAGTTTTTTCAGCCATCTCGGTACTTGATTCTTCAAGAACCTCCTCGACAATATTGGTTTGTATATTCTCTCGTCTTTCATCCAGACTCGTCATCAACTTTTAGAAATAAAAAACAACTAAAAATCTAGACTAAGTCCTTTCACACCTTTTCTGATGAGTGTATTATCCATGTATGTCTTTTCACTTGTGGTCTTCACGGTTGGGATCATGTAAAAATTCATCTATTCGAGAATGCAAACTGTGTTAAAACATGACATCGGAATAGTTGTAATTTATTAGAATCCCACATCGAAAGTTTAAAGGGACTAATACTAATATATAAGGAACTTGCTCCACTTATCGTCAATTAGTTTTAAATTGAAAGCTCAGAAAACTTAACATAACTTTCTTTAGAAAGATTTAGTATTTTCTAATAACTTTCTTTAGAAAGATTTAGTATTTTCCAATAGAATTTGGAGTTGGCAGCTGCTCATTTGTATAAAAGTTACTTTCTTAACAACTTGCTAGATCAGTATCTTTTTTTGTCTACTATTTATTTGTTTTAAAATGATTTTTTAACATGTATATATGAAATCTTTGTCTGATTATAAACCTAAAGAATCAAATTTTTCATTCTAGGATACGTATTCCAAATGTTATATTACAGAAGTATGTTTGTGAAAGAAACCAAGGATATCCACGGATTGGCTGCAGTAATTATAGTATATAATAATTATAATAAAGAGATTTGTCTTTTGTCGTCCAGTTAGGAAATTTATATCTGCAAGAAAGCTGAAAGACAAACGTGAGTTCAACAAATATGATGAAATCTCAGTTTGCATAATTAAATATGCATGCATCAAAAACTTGTACAGTTGTCTCTAGCTCTATATAAAAGTGGTCTAAAACCCCAGATTAACACCCAACGCCAGATAATAAATCTCTTTATTTGGTTAATTCTTATGAAACTAATTAGTTAGTAGTTAATTAAATCCGCATCAAGTTTTAGCTGGTGACTTATCATTATTTTTGCTCCTCATACTGTGTGTCATATATATATATGGACAAGCTAATCATTGATTAGTGATTATATCGCATCTTGAAACATTCCTATTATAATATTTTTGTTTAACTATATATGTGTAGATGCCTTTTCATGGTGATCCACTTACTTATCTCTTACTTTAAGCCTGACTGAGTCTCCATCGTCTTCTTCTTCCCTTGGCCTTCACCATCGATCTTCTCTCTTTTGAAACTCTTCTTTTCTCATAATTTAGTGAGCAATAATGTTTTTTCATTAAGATTCCTTTTGTACATATTATGTTTTGTGATTTATCAAGAGAGGCTTCTTTAAAAGATGAAAGAAGCATAGAATCAAAACAGAAGCTGTTTCTCTATTCTTCTATTTTTGTTTTTATCATTTTTTATCCGACAAATCTCTAAGATTGCAGGTAAATTTATTTCCAGTCATGTGTACTACTTTTTCTAGACATTCAACAAAACTAGCGTTAATGTGCTTTCTATAAGTTTAGTTTTGACGCTTAGATCTTATAATAAAAGTTTTAGTCGCAAAACCACTAATTCCAATCTGGTTCCATGGAAAAAACTTGTTCATATATCACATGCATTCTATATCTTTAGCTTTTACGATCGGTCTTTATTTACTTGTTCCTTTTTTTTGTTGTAAATATGAATATATGATTAAGTAGTAAATACTGAAACTTTATTAATTTTCTTGATAAGAAAAAAAAAATTTTGAAGTGGGAGAGAGGAGATTGTTGTTGGGCTTTCTAATCATCCATATTTTTCCGCTAATCAAGTTTACGGAACGATAATCCAAGACAAGTTTGCGTGATAAGTCTGCGGTTTTGTTCAGGTCTTCACCATGGCAATGAAAATGAAGGGCATCTACAAAGGCTTCAAATGTATCTCTCAAATATTTGGTAATCTTCAAATGTATCTTCATTTATCTTCTCCTCGTGCTAATTATATTTTTTTAACATTTACTACGAGGGAAATATTATTTTAGATCCAATCATATGCATCAACATATTTTAAAATTTTGTTTGTGATGTAACAATGGTCACTTATACGAAATGGGTATATTACATACTAATATTTGCCTCCACAAAGTTTTTTTTATATATAAATAACTTCTAATCGTTTATACAAAATGGCCATCACATAATATCTTAAGGTTGTTTCATGTAATTTTCTGTTTTAGGGATATTTTCTTATGTTTCAGAAAAGAGAAACTAATACATGCAATATGAGGTAAAAATTTATTATTATCTTTCAGGCGTGGAGAAAGAAAGTGATGAAATAGAAATTGGGTATCCAACTGATGTAAAACATGTGGCTCATATTGGCTGGGAAGGTTCCTCTGGTAGTGCTCCTGGTTGGGTAAGTTCTTTAGTTTTTTTTTCTGTTTTCTTTGCCAATACACATGGGAAATTATAATTTCTAATAAGTAAAACTAAAAATGTAAATAAGTTATTTATAGCTAATCTATGGATATTTGTATTTTTTGTGAAGATGACTGAGTTTAAGGTCGGAGCTGAGGTTTTATCTCCAAGACCATCATCTTTTAGTAATGCAAGACCTTCTACTTCTTTTTTCACTTCTTCTTCCACTGGTAAGTTTTTTTTTTTCCTTTTCCATTTTCGTTTTATTGATTATTCAATTATTTGTGTGCTTTCAAGTTATAATTTGAATTGGCTCCTAAATAAATCTAGTTCAATCCAACTTTTTGCATATTCTTAAATAGGATGATGCTTTTGTTTATTCCCCATTTTACATAAGAGATGGACACTGGTTATATATTTGTATCTTAAAACCTGAGAATGAACCCCCCGGCACCAAAATATTATAGTTATATAAGCTTTAGATTCAAAACCTTTTTTGTATATTAGTCCATTTTAGTATATGTCTGTGTTTAAATTTAAGTTTGTCGATCCATTTATTCTAATAGAAATTTGGTCATCTAATGTCTTCTTAACAATTCTTTGATTATACTAAATTCGTTACACTATATTGTTTTTTGTATATGCAGATTTTGATCTAGGATCGAGTCAGCGAACAATATCAGATACACTTAAAGATGTACCTCCAGTTCCTCCAATAAATTTACCAAAAGTTAACAACACGAAAAGTAGTAAAAGAAAGAAGTCATATTCTTCATCATCATCTCCAAAATCTTCAAGATCATCTATTTTATCTAAATCCTCATATAAATCAACAGTATCAAGACTAATCTAGAATATATAATAATATGTCCAAGAAAAAAAAAATCAAAAGTTTGATCGTCTTTGCCTTTGTGCATACTTTAGGGAGTTTCGTATGCATTTTTGCTGATTCTTTTTTTTTTTGTTTTTCATATATGTATAGACATGTTGTAGTGTTCAGAGCTTGAATGATTTTATGTAAATTTAGAGAGAATTAGGAAGAAAATTGTGTGAAAGTGGTGAAACTGATGAGTCCTCAAATTATTAAGTTCCGATCAACCATCAGCAATATATTTTTTAAAAAAAATAGATATTTGGTATAAAAACGTTAATCTCTTGGTTAATTACTGCTATACAGGTTAACACTTGCACACTATTTTTTTTATAAAAAATATCCCTCTCGTTTTGTGATATATTTATAAAACAAAACTTTTAGAATGGCCAAATTTCGATTTTGAAACAATTTATATCATTGAATTGAAGATGCTTTTTTTTCGAACCGCAGCTAATTTTTATTTGTAGTATGTAGGTTTGTATAATCTGAACAACTCCAAATTGGTGTAGGAGTTGTAGACAATAACAATAAGGGCATCTCCAACCCTACTCTATTTCTTTCTACAAATGCCATTTTGAAGGAAATTGCTTTCCAACCGTACTCTATTTTCACCTGTAAAATAGAGAAATGCCATTTTTTCCTCCAAATATGGAGTAACCCCATTTTCAACTCCATTTTGCATGTGAAGTTTTTTATTTTCAAAATAGTCATTTACTTTCCATTAATTCTTAAAAGTATATTTTTTATTTATAATTTAATCATTTATATTATATATATTTAATTTAAAATTAAAGATAGATAGATTTAAAATTTTAAAATAAAAAGATAAAAATATAAGAAGATTAACTGAAACTAGAAATAACATAAAATTAAAAATACATAAGAAATATATAAAATTAAAATGTACTTTGTTTTATTATTTTAAATGGTGTGTAGTATTATTTGTATATTATAATAGTTAACTTTTAAAATAATATTATAATTTATAGAAGTTTTAACTGAAACAAATAAATGGGTTCATTTGTAATTTTTATAAATAAAATGCATTATTAGTAATTAATAATAAAATAAAAATGAAGAATATATTTAGAATATTCTTTTTCGAGTTGAAAATGGAGGAATACATTAGAGAGAAATCCAACTCTATTTTGCAGTTCTTCTATTTTGGAGATAAAAATAGAAGAATACATTGGAGATGCTCTAAGAGCATGATTATCGGTGAGACCAAAATGGGTCTCTAGGACAATTGTTTATTATTATTTTGGGATAAAAGACTTTGATAAGAGACTTTTAATTTTAATCTGTTCAATGAAAAAAACCCATATGGGTTTCTAAAAAAAATGTTTTCTGTTCTCTTTCTCCTACGATTTTGGTTTCAAAAATCATGTTAAGATGCAGTCGAAAAGCTCACCTTAGAAAATGTGCTCTTCCCTAAACCATTTTTCCCCATCACTGCGTGAACCTGTGACTTTTTTTAACCAGCACTAAACAACAAACTATGAAGATCAACCAAAAATCTGTGCTCCAACCCAATCCTTAAACTTTCAAATTTTGAGGTTTTGAATAGTGAAACCTCAAATTTGATGATCCACTATTCAGACCCTTAAAACACTATTTACTTTATATTTTAGTCCATACAATTATATATCTTATTAATAAACTTACTTTTTGTTTCTCTTTTCATTTTAGTCCATACAATTAGATATCTTTTAAATTTAAAATGTTTCTTTATAAATTTAAACATCATTAATAAAAATCAAATAAAATACAAAAAAATTAATATTAAAATTACCAATATTAAAAGAAATATTATATGCTTTGATTGATCATATATAGGAGCATTATGGTAATGGTTTTGTTGAATAATTTTGATGTTTTTTCATGTAACTTTATAATTTGATTATGTGTGTTTTATTTTCTATTTTATATATAGTTTTTTTATTATTGTGTAATTTTTTATTTTATATAACTTGTTTTATGTATTTTATATTTATTTATGAAAGTTCTATCATTATAGTTAATAATTATGAAAATTGAGGACTTTAATGTAAAATATAAACTTTTTTTAAAATGGATTTGAAATTTTACCATTGGAGCAATGCACCCTTAAACTCTCATTTTAAGGATTTGTCACCTTCAAAATAAGGATCTGTGTTGGAGATGCTCTAAGGGACCCTAACAATTAAGAAACCAAAATTGATTTTAAAACAATTTTATTATGTAACTGAGGGGGCACTCCTAAGTCCTAAGGAATAGGAAGCAAATGTGAAAGATTCTCTTGATTTCTGTAAGTGCATATCGCAACTCAGTCTCCGACATATACATTGACATTTATATACTAGAATATATAAATTTATAAAGTGAACCAATCGGCAACTACACATATGTTAAACCAACCTAGCATAGAAGGATAACTAAATATCTAAAAATTGGGCCAAGTCACGGCCCTCTAATCCAGCATTTTTAAAAAGAGGGCATTTTTAGGACTTTAAAAGTGTCTACCTTTATTTAGTCTTAACTCTTAATTATATATAACTTAAGGTCTCTTACTGGGCAAAAAAAAGAATCTTTTACTATAGTTACTGGTAGTTACACTTATAAATATAGCATATTTTCTCCAAATTTTACTTTTAAAATTAATGAAGAGGCGAAAAGGAATTTGTTATAAAGTCTACATTAAACAAAATCAAAGTTCGAATAAAAACAAAATAATAATTCAAGATGGAAAATGTGGGGCCAGATAAATCTCAACATAAACTGAAATGTTACTAAATAAAATTAAATGATTCGGCCCCATGTGTATAGCAGTTTCAGACTATCAGTAAATGGCTTTTCTATTCCTCATTTTGTTATAATCTCTTTTTTTTTATATTGACTTTGAAGTTTTAAAGTATTCCATTCGCTTAATAAAAACAAAAATCAAAAGGGTATAGCGAGTCAGGAGCCGTCGGTTAGCTATTCATACCCAACAAAACAAAATGGTCATTAAATTACATAAGCTTTGTTTCCTACAAAATGTGCTATATAAATATTAAGTCAACAGAAAACTTTGCTTTCTCTAAACACAAATATTACTACTTCTTTTGACAGAGAATTATTATTTTATAGTATTTATATAATTACGCGATGTAACAGAATTTGAAATTTTGAAAGGAAAAAGGAAAAAAAAAAGATGAAAATTCATCAGAAAATTGAAGAGAAAAATTGAAAACAATATATTTGAGAGACAATAAATGAGTTTGTTGGTGGGTAACAGTAGCACTCTTTCCCACTAGCTAATTATTTGAAGGTGACGTCCCCATTGCTCCAAGCGTTTCATTTCAGTTAATTTACTTAACTACCCTTGCGACATTCGTTAAATTACCCCTCTAATCCAACGTTTAACGTTTTCAACTGTTGAACTACGTGTCGTTTACTTCTCAGTGATTGAATGAATATTCTACAGTTTATTGCATATGTACAATGTGTGCCGTTTATGTTTGCACTTTGCAATGTGCATCACTCATCAGTACCGGAAGGGACACCGGTACGCCGTCGTTTCTTTGAGTTTTACTATTATTTTAATTATGGTATGTTTTACCACAAATGATAATCTTACAATTATTTCTAACCTTCTTACGCCTAGCAAATCTATTTTCTGCAGTAAAAACTTTATAAATTAATAATGTTTAGACTTTGATATTTTATTAAATTATAAAGTTATTAATTTATGAATTTTAAATAAAAAAAATATTTTTTTCTTAATTTTATATTTTAAAAAAGTTTTTTTTGGAAGTTTATAATATTTAAAAAAAGAAAAATACAAAATGAGTTCCATGAAAACTTCAATTTAAATAAACAAAAACTATTACTAAATTCATATTTTAGTAGATTATCTCACTTATATATTTATATCAAATTTTATTTATTGTAATTATTAATTTATGATAATAATATGACCATATATTTATATAGGAATTTTGTTAAAATTATTATCTTATCGAATTGTATCATATTTTGAACTGATCCAACTCGAAATTATGAAAAATTATTAATTTATAATATTTATTAATTTATTGAGTATTAATTTATAAAGTTTTTATGACATTTAGAGTTTCATTGAAAAAAAGAGTTTTTTTTCAAAAAAAAAAAGAAAAGAAATGGCGATACACATCTTTTAATTGTAAACTGTAAAGAGTATATAAATGTTCAGTATTTGTTAATTTATAGTTAGGAAAATACGGGACAGTTGGACAAATAAACATGACAAATGTGTATTGAACATATATGCGGTGTTAGTACATGTTAATCACACCTACAAAATCTATATATATATATATATATATTTTAGAATACGTTTATTATTCGCAAAGGTGATCACATTTTAAGAATCACTTTCTAAAATCACAATCTTTATATATATCCCAAACGTTACACAGTGATTTGTCCATTTGAATGGTTAATTTTACCTATATTTCCATAACTTATTTTAGTCGCGAAGCTTGGATTCGTGCTATTTCTCCATTCTTATCTATCTTCGGTATCTTTCACTATCGTAGAGGTGGAATTAAATTTTAGATCTATATATAACACATACAAAAATATATATGTGGTTGAGTTATGTCAATGCTATCCTCATCTCTCAAGTTCGATTAAGTATTGACCAGTTGACCCTATGATCTTTTTTTCCTTCTATTTCTTTTTGTAAACCTGTTTCACGATTTTTTTTTTTGTTAACCTGTTTCATGATTTTTGTTTTAGTTCGTTAACAAATTAATTTTATGCATATACTATTTTATGTGATGAATGTGATAGAAAATATTCATTATTATGAATAAAATTTATATTAATTATTGTGATCCAAATACTGTAAAATGTTTTTTTTGGGATCTGCCATTTGAGCTTGAGAACGTGAAGTCGTTCTTCAATCTTCAACTTCCACAATCTTCATGTTGTAAGACCGAGAAAATCCGATTGAAATCACGAATAGAAAATAGTAATTTTATAAACGATATGT